ACACCTTATAGTTTTACATATTTACTTAAACCTAATTTATAGTTTTCATTTTACTAAAACATCCCATATATTTTACAACTTATTTACTTAATCAACCTTTCATTAAGGAGTGTTTGTTTTGCCATTAGGCCCATGATTTTTTATTCCAAAAATACCCTTAACACTTTTTTTGTACAAAAAAAAAAATTGGCCAAATATAGCCAATAGAGTGGTTGCTCATGTCTTATTAAGGGCAAGAATGGTATTTTATTTCTATTTTCTTTTGATTAAATTTATTTAAATAAACATTAGGGTCAACACTATCATTTTCCACTATCATCTAATGGAAGCATTGCAAATTATAAGTGGTGTTTTAGTAAAATGCAAACTATAGGGTAGATTTTTGTAAATCCATGAAACATTAAGGGGTATTTTAGTAAATGACCCTTACTATTATTTAGCTTTCGCTTAATAAATCCTGTGCATCGCACGGATCCCGCTAGTATAATTAAAACAAAAGCTATCTACCTCCTAAGATAGTAGAATGAGCATTCCGAAACTGCAAAGAATACGTGGAGGCATAAGAGGAAAAAGGGATGAGTGAAGGAGAAAATGCTCAAAAATCAACAATACGGATAAAATTCATGGGACCCTCCAAAAAAAGATAAACTGAAGATCAATTTTGATGCATCCCGTCTCACTAACGAGCTCTATAACTTTGGATACATGATAAGGAACTATAAAGGTGAGGTTATGAAGTTCGGGCTAGTCCCATTGGGTCTAGGGGTGGCAACGACCCAAGCTTTTCAGGAGCTGCTCGAGCTCGGCTCATGAAAAAGCTCAAGCCGAGCTCGAGCCAACTAGAGCTTGGCTCATGAGGCTCGCGAGCCGGCTCGAATATATATATAATGAAATTATTATAATTCTTAATTTTTAAATATCAAATAAAAAATATTTTTATATATCATTTTTTATTTTTATAAAACATTTTTTCTCAAAATCGAGCTCGAGCTTATGAATTTTTTACTTGAGCCGAGCTTGAGCTCACAGTCCATCATCACAATCTCAAACATCTTGTATTAGCAGATATCTTAGGTGTTCCTTCTTCTCAGCCTGTGTAACTCTCAAGCTAATCAAAAAAAAGATGGGAGGTTTTAGTATTTATGATAAATGTGAAGGGAGGTTTAAGTCTTTTGATATTTTAATTCTGTCATTGATGTCTCATTAATTATGTTTTCATAACCTTTCAAATCCCAATATCCATGGCCATTAATGGGGTATGATACAGATTTGAAAAGCCAAATGATATTATATTAGGATCCGAACTCAAGTCTTTAAAATGAAAGGCTTGCTCCCCAAAACTTTCTAAAAACCAAAAGACTTCCTAATCCAAAAAGAAAAACAAAACTTCTAAATCCTAATTGTACAGGAAATATACAAAATAAAGATCCGGGATCTCCTAGGACTCTCGCGAACCTTATCTTCATCCAATACAATTAATGGATGCTTTGTTTTCTTTGTCAAAAAAAGAAAAGAAAAAGAAAAGGATAACAAATAAAGTGTCTGAAGGGAATCACATGTTGCTTCGATCCTTTATGCTTCGTTTGGAAACAATGCAAAATGGTGTAAATCTCGCTTCAGGGTAAATTTGTACTCTATTTCACTTTTGTTTGTGTTTGGCAACATTATATTTATGCATCGACAAATGACAGACCAATGCATATGTACATTGATAATAAGATGTAAAATTATATCAATAAAAAAGAAGTAAATTTGCATTCAAGTGGGCTTTTGATTAAAAAAAAGCATATGCTTTATTGGAATTCATGTTTTCATCCATTACAACTAAAAGTCTGTTTGGTAAGAAGTTAAATTTGTCAATGCAAAACTAACTCAATTTTCCAATTTATGTGAACCGATTTACACTCTACATATTTGCATTCACACTTATTTGCATTGTTTCCAAACGCTACCTTAGTAGTGAATTACTTATAGAAGAGGCTGTCATCTCTTTACTGATTGAAACTGAAGTTGGGTCTATAGAATGTTTAACTTAATTCACTAAAGGGAAGCAATAAATCATTCAGTTCAGCCGTTTCAGCCATAATGAAACCACTCCCGTAAGCTTGCAGAGGCTTCAACAACGAAAAAGAAGCCAACCAGAACTTTGCAAATATGCCTGACAAGACATAACCGATACAGTAAATGAAAGCTACACTCAATTAATATCACAACAAAACTATCCAGGTATAACTCTGTATCCTCTATATCCTCATCCATCACTCTGCTGCTATAAGTTATGAAAACCCACTCCCCCCTTCTCTCTGAAAGTACCATGTTTACACCTTTGTGTATTGTAATTGTTGTCATTTGCATTTACCAGTACACTAGCTTCTCTCTAGCACAAGCCGACCATGGTGGTTTTACCATTGATCTGATCCACCGTGACTCGCCACTCTCTCCATTTTACAATCCTTCCCGTTCTCCTTCAGAGCGATTGCAGAATGCTGTTCGTCGGTCGATAACCCATATCAGTCGGTTCAAGTCATCTGCGCTTTCTCAGAACAATTCCATTCAATCATCCATTACACTTAACAATGGTGAGTATCTAATGAAACTCGCAATTGGTACACCACCTGTACAAATCCTCGCCATTGCTGACACCGGTAGCGACCTCATATGGACACAGTGTAAACCTTGTTCTGGTTGCTACAAACAAAGAACTCCACTCTTCGACCCTAAAAGGTCTTCAACGTACAGGAACTTGCCATGTTCATCAAAACCCTGTGAAGAGCTACCTGTTAGGGCCTGCAACTCAAGCCTCTGCGTTTACGCGTATCAATATGGAGACCAATCTTATACTAATGGAAATCTTGCTACTGAAACATTCACCATGGAGACCACTACCAGTCAGCCTGTCGCTCTCCCTAAGATGGTGTTTGGGTGTGGACACCGCAACAATGGCACGTTTAAAGAAGGAGGCTCTGGTATCATTGGCCTTGGCAAAGGCTCCCTATCGCTAATTACCCAATTGGGTTCATCGATTGATGGAAAATTCTCCTACTGCTTGGTGCCAATATCTGCAGAGAACCAGACGAGCAAGATGAGTTTCGGTAGTGAAGCCACAGTTTCAGGTGAAGGGGTAGTTTCAACTCCTATGCTTTCGAAAAACCCTGCAACATTCTACTATCTTACACTCAAAGGCATTAGTGTTGGAGACAAGAAGTTGGAATACAAGCATTCATCGTCAAATGCAAGCAAGAAGAATGAAGGAAACATTATCATCGACTCAGGCACAACCCTAACCTTTCTCCCACCTGAGTTCTATCAACAGGTGTTATCGGCGTTGAAGGATGCAATTGATGGCGAACCAGTTCCTGACCCCCATGGGATCCTCCTCTTGTGCTATGAGAATACAGCTGATATTGTTTTACCAACCATCGCCGTTCATTTTACCGGCGCCGACGTGAAGCTGACTCCATTGAATACTTTTATTGGGTGGGAAGATGATCTCGTCTGCTTCACCATGCTTCCCTATGTTGGTCCTGCCATCTTTGGCTTCTTGTCTCAGATGAACTTCTTGGTTGGCTATGACATTAAAAACCATAAGGTATCTTTCAAGCCAACAGATTGTACAAAGAACCAATACCGTCAATAGGGATTCGCGTGTCTTTGGGTGCTTTACCTTTTGCGAATAGGGCTTTGCGTGCTTTTGGGTGTTTTTCCCCATTATGATAATAAAGATTTGGGTCCTTTCTCATCTGTGTTATAAGAATTTTGCTTTAGCCATAAATAAAAGTTACATTGTTATATTGTAACAGTTTAATTTACACCTATGAAGCCAAAGGCTCATTGAAGTAAAAATATTATAAAATAAAAGCTCCCACCAAACCATCTACATAATCATTTGAGGAAACCCAGTTCACTTTCTAACAATTTCCCAAGGATGTTGAAACCTCAAATTAATAGTTATCTCTCATTGAGCTCTCTTATAGCTTCTATTTCTTGTATTTTTTTTTGTTAGAGAGAATCTTTGTGTTAGAGGTGTAAATTGGGTCGTGCCACCTGTGGTTTGGCACAAATTTGGACTAGCTTGGCATGGCCTGACATGATAGTCCACAGGCTGGACCGACACAGCACGATTAAGTAGGTCATGCCGCCCGTGGCCCGTGTGTCAGCCCGGCCTAGCATGGCCCATATATATTATTTATATAATTTTATATAATATAATTATATATTAGCGGAGACCCGTGTGATGCACGGGATTTGTTAAGCGAAAGCTAAATAATAGAATGGGTCATTTACTAAAACACCCCTTATACTTTCATGGATTTATTAAAATTTACCCTATAGTTTGTATTTTACTAAAACACCACTTATAATTTACTATGGATTTAATCAATCTTCTATTAGACGACAGTGGAAAATGACAATGTCGACCCTAATGTTCATTTAAATAAATTTTATCAAAAGAAAATAAAAATAAAAATATCAATTTTGCCGCTAATAAGACACGGGAAACCACTTTATTGGTTATATTTGGTCAATTTTGTTTTCTATACAAAAAAGTGATAAGGGTATTTTTGGAATAAAAAATCATAGCCCTAATGACAAAACAAACACTCCTTAATGAAAGGTTGATTAAGTAAATAAATTGTAAAATATATGAGATATTTTATTAAAATGAAAACTATAAGGTAGGCTTAAGTAAATATGTAAAACTCTAAGGTGTGTTCTACTAAATGATCCTAATACAAACACATAAAGTATACAATTGTTTTATATTTTCAACTTTTTAAATAATTATTCATATTTTATATACTATTTTTAATAATTTTTTTATAATACAAAAATAACAATAATTAATTTCAGTTATGTTTATTCATCAAACTTATGAAACTAACCAACCTGATCGACTTGACTCGAGTTGGTCGGTTTTCTAATATATTATGTTGACTTTGGTTCAAAAATTTCCCAATTCAACCATGTTGGATCAGTTTCACTTTGGCATTTTGCAAACCGACCAAAATCAAATGACCAAACCATGGATATATATTAATACTTTATATTTTAAATATAATCTTTAATTTGAAAAAGTGAGAAATTTCCAATATTTCATAGTCTAAAATGTTTTATTTTATAAATCTAATTTTTAAATTTATTTTTTAATAATTGCACTGTAATTTTTAAAATTTAATTTAATTTTTAAGTTTAAATCTTTTAAATTGACTAACCTTTTGTGAAAACCGATACAACTTGAGTGGGTCGATTTTCACAAAAGGTCAATCGATTTCAGCTGACCAACTCCACAACTTGACCAAGCCGGACCAAACCAACTCACAAACGCTCATAATTTTAGCTAAATTAATAGTCTTATCTCCTATAAATAACAATAGTTTAATCTCCAATAATTATTGAAAATTTATAGCAAAAATACACAATTGTTGAAAATATATTGATAATGAAAAAATACAATAATTACAACAATTACAAAAATACAATAAGTACTAAAATATATTAACTTAGTCAATAAATAATATAATATCAAATAATAATTTAATCTCTAATAAATATTAATTAATCAATAAGTTATAACAAAAATACAATAAGTACAATAAATTAAATTTAAAAATTCAATAATAGTAGTTTAATCTCCAATAATTACTTAAAGTTTTCTGTTAAATAACAAAAAAAAATAAATTTATACATAATCATTGAAAATACATTTATCACAAAATACAATAAATAATTACTGGAATATAATAAATATTAATTTTAGTATATATAAGTATATAATAAATACAGATTAGGAGTTTAAAATCATAATTTATAAATATTATTTTTTTTAAGTTATTTTCTCAAATTATTACTTGATATAAATGAAATTAGTTATTTACAATATTATGTAATAATATTAAATTATTACTAATTTCAATATTATGTTATAATTATATTTCTACTCTTTAGAGTTTTTTTTAATTTATTACATAATTCCGTTATTTTAACTATTTAAAACCTAGTTAAGATAAATATTTAAATAATCTATAAAATATTTATATTTTTTTGTTATTTTAATTTTAATTATTTAAAGATATTATATACTATTAAATATTTGAAAAACATTTAAATTGATAATCCAGAAAACATAAAATTGTTAGTACATAATTTTGTGATATATTTTGTAAAAAATATAAAATTATTTTTTGTGTTTCTAATAAATATTTTAAAGTTATTATATAATTTTGTTAGAATATTTAAATAATTCTTAAATTTTTTAATTGAAACTTTCTTTAGATAGATATAGATAAAAAGTAGGGGAGAGGATAAATAGGAATTAGAGATAATTTTGGAGAAAGTGGGGGGAGGTAGTTTAGGAGAAATTTTGAGATAAGAGATTATTTAAGTTTTGGGAAAGCACATCTCATTGTTTGTTTCAAAATGACATGGAATAAAAAAATACAAATTTGAAAAAAAAGGAGAAAATTTCTTCACTGCCTTGTTTTAATATATAGATATATAATATTTATATATATTTTTATATGAAATATATTTGTATATAATATATTATTTAATTATTGTATATATAAGCAATTGTGTACATCAAAATTTATATAAAATTAAAAGTTTAAATTTTTTCAACTTTTTTAAATAAAGAGCTTTGTCCCGGTCCACAGCTCGACTTGGCCCAAGGTTTAGCCCACGAACCAACTTAGCCCATGGCACAGGCTTAGGCCATGGGCCGTGCCAGGTCGACCCCCCGTAAATTATCCCAGGGAGAGCGGCACGGCCCGTTTTACACATCTATTCAGGCACTCAAGCCACTCTACATGCCCAACTAGCATGTATTATCCATTTTTCAAGTATTTCGCTGTTTGGCTCTGTTGTGCCAGTAAGCATGGAACAACGATTTTTTGTTTGGTATGGTGATTTTTACCACCGTTTCTCATGTCTTAGCAGGTGGTATGGAATATAGTGATGCATGTTAATTGTATATCCTCCACTTGTTTAATGCCAACAACGGCCCAGATTCTTCATATGACCAGTTTACATTGTTTACCAATAAAATTCAAACCAACGGTTAAATTTGTTGTTGGATTAGATCCAACGCTTCAGCATGAATAATGGCAAGTATTACTCGTATATTTTTGCCATTTGCTGCTCCTTCAGTATTTTGAACAATAACCTTAACCAATGGTTTCAGCTTGGTGTATTTTCGCAGTCTTCCTAATAGCATTTTCACGACTGATAATTATTAGATATTTGTTAAATAGCGCTTTCAGCCTCGTACATTTGATTCCAACCTCCTAAATCTGTGATTTGAGGCTTTAGTCAACGAGAAAAATGGATGAAGCTTCAGGCAATTTGTTCCAAAAACCTAGAATGATGGTACTGTGAGATGAGTTTCTTCATGAAAATGGGGAGGAAAAACAAGAGAAATAGTATGTATGCTTACTTTCGTTACCGGCGACGGCCAAACGGTGAAGAATTGTCGTGATCTCGTCCAACTCTATAAACCTAGAATGAAGGCACAATTACAAATATGTACCACTCACTTTGGAAAGAGTATACATGCAAATATGTAGAGTATAAAACCTTATATTTTGTATTATTTTATATATATTTGTATTGTACATATTTATATTTATACTCCTTCCAAACTGAACCTACAATATAAATATATATAAAAATAATACAAAATACAAGTGATGGAGGGTGATTTGCCCCGACCTCACTCAGCATAAGTGATAGCTCAGCGCGACCAGTCCAGCGTGGCAGCTCGGCACCGGGAACACTTCGATTATCCCGAGCTCCTCTACAGTAAGGGAGCTCTCGAGCTCCTCCTCGAGAAGGGAACACCCCGAGCTAAGATTCTTCCACAGGCATCCCAAGCCAGGGTACTGCAAGACAGGGATCTCCCGAGCTCAAGGCACTTTGGGGTGAGCTCGGGAGCCTCCTAACATTTTTTCCGACGGACCTAAGTAGGCTGCCTCAGGTAGAATAACCTCAGTGTGGCATCTTTAGCTCGGCACAAGGTAGCTCGATGCAAGGTAGCTCACAGGAAGGCAGCTTTGCGTATCACAGGAAGATCTCCCCTGACAACCGTACCTGCCAAAACTGGGGCCCCATATGATAGAGTCGTACCCTGCGACAGTGACCTGTGTAACCCTGGTAAGTAATGGCTACGGCAGAGAATCAGAGGTGGTTATGTCAGATTTTACAGAACACCATTATATAAGGACTCCAACCCCCTGAGAGGAAAGGTAATTGATTTCGCGCTATCTGCACTCTCAGCTCTCCTTGTATTCTCTGCAATTCTCTCTCAGAGTTCTAACTTGATCGTCCGAGTGTTCCCGCCGGGCAAACTCCCCAGGAATCCTTCACTGTCTTCTCCATCTCAGGTGTTTTCCTTCGTCAGCTAAGAGCCAAGCCACCGCCAGCTAGGAGTGACCAGATTGCACTGCATCATTTGGTGCCGTCTATGGGAACTTTTCAAAAAGCCTTCCACCAAAACTTTGCAAACTTCAGTCCTCGTGGCTTCTTCCAGCAACGCAGCACGCAGCGCAGAAATGAGCGCCGCCGGGAAGCAACTCCAGGTCCCTTCCACCAAAACTTTGCAAACTTCAGTCCTCATGGCTTCTTCCAGTAACGCAGCACGCA